AGAGAGAGAGAAAGAGAGAAACACATAGACAGAAACATGAGAGCAAGCGAGAGAGAGAGAGAGAAAGCGAGAGAGAGAGAGAGACAGACAGAGAGAGACAGAGAGAGAAAGAGACAGACAGACAGACAGATATACATAAACATACTAACAGACAGACAGACACTGGCACTAACCGCAATCATTAACATATGTACCAGTAAGTGGAACTCCTGGAGTGTATCTCAGTGCATCCTAGCAACATGCGTGGGGCTGGAGCCATGGCAACTCCCAGAACAAACTATAGTCGAACCTGCTCTAACGACCACCTGGTTTAAGAAGTAAAATTAGCGAGAAAAAGATTGCCAAGGCTTGGTAAATTCCAAAGCTGGAGAGTCTATGGAAATTGTAAATTTATATCATTGAGCCTTTAATCAACGTTTTTCGGTGAAATCCTCAAAGGAATTTGTTTGTAAATGGACATAAAAGGTGTTGAGCCAAAAAACACAAATTTGATAAAAACTGCTAAGCAGGGAGAAAACTTCTTTTTTCATCGATTTCATTATTTTGACGAGAGCCTGATTCCACCACGCTGCCTCACATATATCATTTGTTGGTTTTAATTTAAGAAAATAACTATATAAGTTACAGTCTACCATTAACTGAACTAACCCTAACATAGTCTTGTGTTGATTATAAATAAAACATTACGATCAAAAAGTTAAAGTTATCAGATGGCGTCATTTTGATAGGATTTGGCAAGGAGAAATAAAAAAATATAATACAATGTAGCGTTTTTGTAAACCTCCATTTCAGGGCTGATGTACATTAAATGATTTCTGCATACATACACAGTTCCTATCTGCAGAAATCCAAATAGCCAAGCTAGGATAAAACATTATAGATTAATGCAATAAATCTTCTGAAGAAGATTTTCCCACATTACTTATAAAAACGAGGTTATACTTATTTTGTAAATAATTTCTGTTGTGTTATATATTCTTTTTACCACAAACACGCCTCCGGCAAGATTTATGTCACAGTTTTGCATTAACTCACTGCAGAAGACAAAATAATATTCTAGTTTGTCCGACATCGCTTTCCTACATTTTTCAGACAGCTTCAATTTTACTTTTTCTGAGACTTAGAAATCCCCCCCCCCCCCCGGGGGCAGTGCTACTGACTGTCTTTAGGCAATTCCTAAAGGTGCGATATTAACAAGTTCTTATGCACAGTAGAATTGTGAGTGGGCTAATTCATCAATGTCATGCTCTTACTGTGCCTGAACAACATACGAGGAAATTGCTGCTTTTTCTGTCCTCATCCTTACTATCATCATTTTTTCTCTACTTGTTTGTATGTTTGTCACTCTCTTGTGAACTGCTATGTCCGAGGTGCCTTGATAGTTTGAAACAGACTTTGTGTTTTTGAGGCTAGAGAGGTGAACATACTAAGCATGATTCGCCGTGTGGTCTTCTCTGTTGACATCCACCCGTTGGCGTTCATTGACCTTATGCAGCATCCAGCGGGGAAAAAAACCCTCGCTAAAACTAAAACCTTAGAAAGGCAGGCAAGAACATGACAGTGCACTATGAAATATTATACGAATTCCTGTTTCTGGTTTGTATATAAATCTAATAGTATGTATTACGACACGGTGAACCAGGTGCTAGTCAATGTTGGGGCATATGGAGTTATTGGTATCATTTTTAAAGATTGTCCATTTGCTTTCCTCTTTATGAAAAAAAACTATCAATTTATCTTGAATACAAATCAATATTATTAGTGATTGAAGGAGATTGGGTTTGCTTGGTTTCATCAGAGGTAATATTAGCTTGAGTTATTTCCTTAGATTGAGAGTCTGTGGAAACTAAAAATTTACATATTTTATGCTGTTATATAATTGCCTGATACCTCCTTGTGGTTACGCCAGGCCTAGTGCACGCTGTTTTCTCAATTGCTCTCTCGAGACTGCTTTTATGTAAGTCTGGTTGCTATAAAACAAAATCACATATACATGATTGATAAAAGTTCCTTAAAAGGATAATCCATTTCGTTAAAGAAAGACGATAGAGAGAATAAATCAATCCCTACGCACTGATAAGGGGCCGTTGTTTGCAGCAAGTTGTGCTGTTTGTGATATTAATACGTTGTGTGCTATTATTTCCTTTAGTATTTTTTTCTTTACTATAACAGTATAAGTTGCCAGCGGTAGCTAGCAGGGTCCGAGGCAGCGTTGTACAATCAGACGCTCGTCAACATACAGAAATCGGAGAAACAGGCATTTCTCTTCCAGTTTTGACATTTTTATTTCTGGCTGAACCTCTTTTATGTCCATATAAAATCCCATTTCCTTGTCAATTTTACTGCAAAACATTGATTAAAGGCACAAAATACGTCATGTTTCTGTTTTCCATGACTCTTTAGCTATTGGAGTTACCAAACTTTGGTGGCCTTTTTCTCGCTAGTTTCACCACTGAAACCAGGTGACCTCACTTCCTTCAAACGCAAACATCAGGAGTTCTTTTAAAGATAGATGGGTATCTGTTTCATTGGGAGCAAGGTAAATAAATCAGCTTTTAGATGACACCAATAACTCCACATGACCAAAAATTGACGAGCGCATGATTCCACCCCGTCATAACACTAAAATTCCTCCTTTGAAGTTAAGGGGGGGGGGGTGCTACGCTGAAGGCTATCTCGCTTAATACAGAACCGAATTTTACCAAATTTCACCCATATAACAGGCATAGTAAGGAGTCTTAAAATCCGCAATCAAATTTGAGAAAAAACGTTTCGTTTCCATGGATACATCGGCCATATTGGATTTTGTTGACATGTCTTACGTAATGAATACCGCACTTATCGTTCATGGAAATTGATTGCTTTTTTTTTTTTTTGCATGCGTGTTTACAAACATTAGATCTAAAAATTTGTCTGTTATCTTTTTTCTTAAACGAATTAGAAAATTTCTTAATGAATTTTTTCCTGAGGTGGCATTCAAGTTTGCAAAAAAATCCGTGAAAATCCACACTCCAGACACCACCAACAATAATCTATTCCATATATAACAAATTCAACACACTGATTTTTAGTATTACATCTTCTCTTCATTCTGTTAAAATTTCATGAAGATCGGAAAAAAAATGGTGGAGTTATTCAAAAAAGTATAGAGAAAAATTGCGTTTTGAGAAAACGGCCGATAAAGAAAAATAAAATATTGACTTAATGAGGAAACGGCGGTGACAAACATGACCGATATGGGAGGGAAATACGTTTTTGGGGGGTTCTTATGTGATGAAATAGTTGTAGGAGCGGTTGAGGAAGCTAAAAAGGCCTACAACTCAAATTCCATAATTTTGAGCTGAATCTTGACTTTGGGGTGTAGCACCCCCCTCCCACCCCCACCCCCCGCCGTTTAAGGGTCGTCAGCTGGTAATGAGTTAATCATTGTACATAGACAAGCCAACAACTATTAGTGCCTCGATTAGGTTCAGTCTGACTGAAATTACCTTATAAAATATTCAAATTGTAGGACACTAATGGACGATAATTGCATTCGCATTGCCTAATTCCACTGTCTATAACGTCCTTTACGACCGTTATTACTCCAACAGACCCCAGAACCCTCAGAAACATTCTCGGACTGCGTGAACTGCGTATTGCAGTCACTAAAACACGAACAAACTGACAACGAAAACATATTAATATGATATGGTCGCTTTTAAACACAAAGGGGTTATCCTGTAAAATGCTGTATTGAGAAAATCAAAGGTAGTTTTTGCCCCTTGTTCAGTTTCTTTAATAGACAAGGAGAGTTTTCTCAATTACCAAACAAATATACATACCAACGAAGCCAAATTTCTCCTATAGGTAGGACAATGCCTACTTTTTGTGTACGTTAAGATTTCTGGAAACCGCCGAAATCTGGGTTAACCCGCTTGTCCTTAAAAGCGACCATATTTCTGTCTTTGTCCGGGTACCCATTTCTAAATATGTGAAGTACGGAACATTCGTCGATTAATTAAAGTACCTCCCTCAAAGACGCACTCTCGACCCCTGACGGGTTGCCAACCCATGACCGTAGTGTTGAGAGTCCGACAGCCTAAGCTCTTAACCACCTACGCCTTCCAAATTTAACCATAATAATCAAAAACACATTATTTTCGATTTCATTTCAGAATTGCTAGAAGCTGTATAAAGGATTTGCCTGTGGATTCACTATCATGTCTTCTTTGACCACGCCCCCTACTGACGTCATGGATTCCGCTATGAACATCACGTCCAATCAGTCGGAGCCCCTTGATTACAGGTAAGGCAGCGGCTGGGAAATCTGAGCTGTAGTATTGGTGCTCATTATACAAGTGGGCGGATCTCGTAAACCACATTTAGTAACGTCGGTACGTGTAATTTGATTCTTAGAAAGCGAAGGGTGGGCGGTTCGTTCGCTACGTCTTCGATATTATCGAAATTGTATCTAGCAGGAAGTTCAACTTTTTAAAAAGTTTTCTCATCATTCCTTCTTTGTGTGTTTGTTTTGTGTGTGTATGGGGGGGGGGGGCTCATGTGTGTGTGTATGTGTGTGTGTGAGGGGGGGGCTTATGTGTGTCTGTATGTGTGTGAATGTGTGTGTGTGTATGTGTGTGTGTGTATGTGTCTAAATGTGTGTGTATGTGTGTGTATGTGTGTGTGTTTGTGTGTGTATGTGTGTGTGTGCTTGTGTGTGTATGTGTGAATGTGTGTGTGTGTGTGTGTGTGTGTGTGTGTGTGTGTGTGTGTGTATGTGTGTGTGTGTGTGCTTGTCGTTCTTTGTATTAAAAAAAAAATATTTAATGAAATTACTGGATGGCTTTAATTACGAGTTATGTCATTCATAAATTACCGAAACCCGATAATAGACAGGCTTAGGTCCAGCTGATTATATATAAAAATATATGTTGACATTTTTGTTTTTTTTTAACATATTTTCGTAAACTACCTCAAAGCGACTTAGACCCGTTCGTGTTCCGACCCTTTCAGCTGCAGCGAAAGAGGAAAAGACAAACCAGCCCTCGAGACAATAAAGAACTGATAAGAGCAATGTTTCCTCTGTGACGTCATAGACAGCTCACACAACTCACAAAATAGGAACTCCAGACTCCCCACTAAAAAAAATATAATGTTTTGGCAAACCGTTCTAATGTCCAAAGCCCAGAAAAGCAACTTTTATTTTTCGGGGTAGAGAAAAAAACAACAAATCTATTTCTTGATTGTAACAATTGTATGAGAATCTGTTCAATACATCTTCTCTTTCCTTTATCAGTGTTTAAAATTTAGATTTTTTACTACATAATTCTTGAGAATATGCAACCGACACCACAAATTATGAAACAGTAATTGAAAAAGGGCTTACTTCATATGATCAGATGGCTTTTAAAAATGTGATCCCATTTCAACAGGTAAAACAACCTCCCCAAAAAGTACATCTTGGTTGGAGCAGGTCCAATGTTGAAATCTTACATATTACGATCATATATCTCGTATATCTTTTTTTCTCCTTTTCACTTCGAGCACGAAGGCCACCTGTGGTGTAGCGATTTGGCGCTTCGTTGTAGCAAACAGGAGAACCGAGTTCGATTCTCGAGGGGGTAGAAATTTCATCCAAGAGCAATGTATCTCGTTCTTTCTGTTACAATGTCGCATCCCTGTTAGCCAGGATTGGCCCTCGCAGACAGGGCCGACGCCTTGTTAGCAACCCATCGAAATTGTGTCCATGAACATGTTTAAAAAACTTATACTAGAAAAAAAACCATGAAGAGCGTTACTGAGCATGAAAATGATAATAATAATAATAATAATAATAATAATAATAATAATATTACTACTACTACTACTAATAATAATAATATAATAATTATAATAATAATAACAACAACAATAATAACAATAATAACAACAATAATAACAATAACAACAACAATAATAATAATAATAATAATAATAATAATAATAATAATAATAATAATAATAATAATAATAATAATAATAATAATAATAAAAATTGCCATACCCACCACCTCCACTGTGTCGCTATTCTTAACATCGCAATACGTCTGCTTGAAATTGCGAAATCCTGTTGGGTCAACAATTTGTTCATTATGTGAGCTGGCTCCCTGTGTTCTAAATGCCAGGAACACCTCAGGCTGAATGACGCCCACAACACCGATGTCTAAGAATTACCAAGTTATATCTGACATGTATGGCCATTTGGAATTTGCTGACATCACGCAGTAAGAAACCAATTAATGTTAGGCAGAGTGGTGAAATCAGGCGCTCGTCAAAATAATCAAAGTGAAGAAACTGACTTGTGTTGAAGATAAATGGAGTTGTTGTTGGGTTTTGTTTTGTTTTTTTGTTTTTTGTTGTGTTTTTTTGTTGTTGTTTTTTTAAATTATTTTTTTTAACCAAAAGCAAGACGAATGAACAATCTTTAGGATTACAACCATAAGTCTACAAGACCAAAAATTGACGACAGCATGATTCCACCGCGTTGTGATACAATGATATGTTCTATCTGCTCTATCAAAATCGTAGGATTGTTTGAAATTGTTATCAAGCTATTCAAAGAATTTCATTCGAAAAGGATTGACGTGTTGTGAAACTCCAAATGTGAGGCCGCGTGGTGGAATCAGGCTCTCGTCAAAATAATCAAAATGAAGAAACTGGCATTTTCCTGCAGGTTTGTGAATTTGTATCAGTTTTTTGTTTTTTGGCTGAAGATCTTTCAAGCCCATTAAAGAAACATGTCTGTGTAGATTTTACTGAAAAACGTTGACTTAAGGCACAAAAAATATAAATTTTCAGATATAACAGACTCTGAAGCTAAGGAAATGACTAATCTTCGGCGGCCATTTTCTCACTAATTTTACTTCTGAAAACAAATGACCCCCACCTCCTTCATTCGCCAATATCTCGACTTGCATTCAAGATAAATTGATATTTTTTTCATTCATATAAAGACAGGTGAAGAAGCTTTACGATGATACCAATAACTCTACATGCCAGATAATTGACGAGAGCCTGATTCCACCTTGTCGCGTTACAAATTGAATACGCCAAATTTCTCAGAACTACGTACTGAGCAGAGAGGACTTTGCAATTCTGAGATAGCGAAACTAACAAGAATAAAAGACTCTAGGCAAACATAGTTATTGTAATGTTTTAAACGGACACTATTCAGATAATTTACGAGGAAGGGATGGGGCCAATTAAGCGAGGTCAACGTTTCTATTTTTGTGACGTAATACCAGAAAGTATCGAAGTACTGAATCAACGTTAATGGTATTGGCGTTAAAAGATTCAAGCTATCTCAATTACATAGTTATTGGGATGTTTTAAACGGACACTATTCTGATAAGTAACGAGAAAGGGATGGGGCCAATTAAGCGAGGTCAACGTTTCTATTTTTTGACGTAATACCAAAAAGTATCGAAGATCTGAATCAACGTTAATGGTATTGGCGTTAAAAGATTCAAGCTATCTCAATTACTTTATTACAGTGTTGGTGCTTATGATATTATATAATTTTAGTACTCAAAATAGGGACTACCAGCAGAAGCGTGTTACAAAATAGTGTCACAGGGTGCATGGCCTGTTCCCTACGCCCTGCTTGTGCCTTTCACTGAAGGATGTGGGGGGTAGTGAGCACGTGTGGGCAACCTTGATAATATAAATTTCTGTACTGCCGTAAAACCACCCCACCTACCCCGTCACCTTTTACGGGAATTTCTTATTCACCTTCTCCCTGAGAAGGGAAAGGGGTAGTGGGCCTCTGTGGGTTTTCTAGTGTGCTCCTAGTGTGTCTTTTCTTTCTCACTGCTGGCTGCCTTATTAGGAGAACGTTTTGAGATACTTTTTTGTTCATAGCAATTGGCATCGACTAGAGTCTGGGTTGTTGTTGTTGTTATTGTTTTTTTGTTTTTTTGGGGGGGTTGTTTTTGTTGTGTTTTTTGTTTTGTTTTGTTTGTTGTTGTTTGTTTGTTGTTGTTTTTCTTTCTTTTTCTGGGGGGTGTTTATGGGTTGTTGTTGGTTTTTTTTTTAAGAAGACTGGGGAGGGGGTAAAAAAGTTACGAAGACCGAATTTCATGACGTTGGAATTATCGGCATCTGAGACTGAAGACAGTGAAGCATACCTATATTTAAGCAAGGCAATTTTACCGCAATACTTGCCACTTTGAGGCAAAGTTGTAACGAAAAAGTGGTCGCTTTTAAGCACAAGGTGGCTATCTGAAAATCCTGACAAGAGAAAATCGAAGGTTAAATTTTTGGACCCTTGTTAAGTTTCTTTAAAATACAAGGACAATTTTCTCTTTTACCAAACAAATATACACACTAATGAAACCAAACTTCTCCTAAAGGTAGGGCAACGCCCACTTTTGGTGAAGTTCATGCTTTCTGGAAACCCACGACATCTAGGCTAGCCTGCTAGTCCTAAAAAGCAACCAATTTTTTAAATTAAAAAAGTGTCCTACAAGAAGAGATCTTGAACAATTCTCAGGTAAATATGGAAAGCGAATTATACAGACTGTGTTGCTATAACAGGAACTATGTACAAAACAAAACACCTTGCTAGTGTTCGTGAAATGTAGGTCAAATATAATAACATAGTGCCACGTCGAGTTTCGGAGACTGGTCCTTTGAAAAGGCTGCTCAAGGCAAGATGAGTACTTTTTGTCGTCCCTTATTGTTATAACGCTATTGAAGACAGTCAGTTATTACTTGAGGACAATGGCGAGGTAGTGACAGGGAGGTATTCTTAGTATAGAAAGTTGGATTTCCCAAATGAAAAACATCGCTATATTATTTTGATAAAAAAATTGACGCAGCAATTGATCCCTCCCACAATCCCCCAACTTCTCTCCCCCTCTCCCCCTCTCTCTCTCTCTTCCTCTCTATCTCTTTCTCTCTCTCCCTCTCTCGCTCTCTCTCCCTTTCTCTCTCTCTCTCTTTCTCTATCTCTTTCTCTCTCTCTCATTTTCTCTCTCTCTATCTCTATCTCTCCCTTTTCCTATCTCCCTGATCTCTTCCCTCTCTTCTCACCCTTCCTATCAATCGTTTAATCTATTGTCTGCTATATTCTTTTTTACCGTCTTTCTTCCTGAAACAAAGACAAAATTCAGTAAAGGCACAATCCGATTTTCAAACAAGTATGCTAAGAACACACACACACACACACACACACACAGAGAGAGAGAGAGAGAGAGAGAGAGAGAGAGAGAGAGAGAGAGAGAGAGAGAGAGAGAGAGAGAAACACACACGTACACACGCACACGC